CCCAAAACCCCAAAACCCCAAAACCCCAAAACCCCAAATGAGTTCTCCAAGATAGAATTTAGAATTTAAAATAAAATTTAAACCTATGCACTCTAAATCGACCAATTTCGGACATAAAAACGCATTTTTTTCTGATAAGAGTTCCTCTGATCAAGAACAATGAGCATATACCCAGACTTCTTGCATCGAGAGGCCCTATTATTCTGCTACAGATGGGATAAAAATCAGTCAACAAAAGCTCCAAGAAGTTAGAAGCAAAAGAATAAAATAACTCAAGAAGCTTATCCAGAGAGACCCCAAAATTTCCTCGTAAGTTTACTCACCTATGAAGAAGAGCTAGTTATCATTTTGTAGACAAAAGATCAAAGACTCAACAATCTCTGAGCTTACAAGTTAAGAAGAAAGCATCCAAAAGTATTATCAAACTGATCTCGCCTTTTTCTAAATAAAGCAAAGGCAATAAATCACAGAAGAACCAAGTGAAGCATTGTACGTCAAGCTTATTAAGAGAACGTAGTAAATATTTCACACATTAAACGCCATTATTTCTGCTAGACTTGATTTAAAGACTTTGACAAATGTTGATGATTTATCAACTATATAGAAAATACCGATAGATGGTCCGTTTGAGGACTTCTTGTTGCACGATCATAAATCAGCGCTTGAAAGCTATAATAAGTTAACTAATCCATATCAGAATGCTTACTACAACTCCATCAACAGTAAGTAGTGAATTCTTAATGGTCGTTGATAAAATAATATCTCTATCCAAATTCTTAAAATTTGGAGATGTGTTGGTTGGAGAATAAATACTACAACAGTCAACCCTATCACTGCAAGGCAGCAAAGATTTACAATTTTTATAAGCTAGCAATAATTTTAAGACATAAAATTATAATACTCTTCTAATTCAGTCAATATTGGAATTCAGAAGTTGCATCAACCAAGGAAATACCAATGTAAACATAAAGTGAATTATTTCTGTCAAAGTTTTGGTCATCTTTCTTTCTCCAACCAAAACTCCCTTTTTGATGAACTCTTAATAAAAGAGATGTCTGGCATTGAGCATAGAGAGATGATAATAGAATTTCATTCTAATACATACTCAACCCCAATTTTCAAATTTACCTGCTTTGGGGAACTCGTCCTGACTCTAATCAGCCTAGTAACTACACTGACCCCTATTTCTTCAAGTTGACTCACTTCAGCATACTTATACTACATTTTTCCAACTATCTTCCAGAGCCCAAAAATAAATTACCTCTAAAAATTCCTATTCTTTCCCAACAAATTCCAATGATGTCACTAAATTACAATATTATCGATGCTTTGAAATCTGTCACGACACACTTGCACAAACTATTATTCATTGGAATACTGAAGCAAATGGGAAGCTTCTAATAAGCTATTAGAGCTGCTAATAAGAAACTGTATGCCAAGTATCGAACTCAATAATCCCTTGACTTCTCTACTCAGTGCATGATTCTTTTGGCCACTCTGCTGAAGCTCTTTAGCGTAAGCTAAAGAGCTAAGTGAAGAGTGGCATTAAATGAGACTGAGTGGGGGTTCATGGCGGTGAGAGCAGAAGGGAATTGAGTGGGTGAGATAGAATGAGGTAGTGTTGTTGGAGAGGTTTTAGGGGGCAATGGAAGGAATAGGGGTGTTTAGAAGGGGATTTGGGGGTTTGAGACTTTTTGTAGCTGGTGGCAGTTTATGTAATAGTCGACCAGATTTTAGATTTTATGAGAAATTTTATAATGTAATTGGAGGAGTTAGAGTAAATTAGACGGATTTGAGATGCTTTGAAGCATGTTTAATAAATATTTTAAACTACTTGATCTATGGTGTATCTAGTGCTTTAATTTTAATTCTTACCTTTTCTGTTTAGTACAAAATTCTAGTTGCTCTCATAGAGTGGAACATTTTAAGAAAAAAATCAAAGAAATAAAGAACTTCAAACTTCAAAATAAAACTGACAGTCAATGCATGAATTGGAATCATAGTAAGTGATAATAGATAATAAAAGATTAAGTTTATTTCAAGCTCTCAATGATATGGGAAGAAATTAAAACTCATTGATAACCTGCACTTTTCTGGCCAACTCAATATAAAACCAAAAAACCATCCATTAACCACAATCACTAACCTCCCACATAGTTCCCAACCCCCACTCAACCCTCCACACTCCTAAACTCCCCAAAATCCGCCAAAAATGCACGTAAATCCCCTTTCCTCCCCCCTAACCCCTCCCCAGGCCCCCCCCCCACCCCCAAATCCCACCTCTCCACTCTCATCCAAGCTCTCACCCTCACCCTCCAAACTTCCCCAAAATCCTCTTACTCCTAACCCCCTGCCCCACTCAACCTTCACTTCTAGGCTTACTCAAGCACTCTACTACCCCCAGACTGGAGAAGAAGATGGCTTGAATTTTGAGGTATGGAAATTAGGAATAAAGGAACAGAAGTTGGAGGGTGTGTAGTAGGTGGGATAAATATGCGTCATTTCTTCAATGTTGAGGATATTTTAGGGGTTTTGGGGTTTTGGGGTTTTGGGGTTTTGGGG